GCATGCGGGCGCGGGCACTGGGGCTTTCGGTGGAGCTCCCTATGGAGCCACGAAACGTGTGAGGGGTGTGCCGAAATGGGTGTGGGTGACGCATGCGGGCGCGGGCACTGGGGCCTTCGGTGGAGCTCCCTATGGAGCCACGAAGCGGTGTACTGGGTGGGTGAAGAGGAGAGGAGGAGAGGATGATAGGAGGGGAGAGGAGGCGGAGGAGGAGAGGAGGAGAGGAGACGCGGGGCACCGTCTCTTCAAAACGAGGACCCAACAACACAGGTTGGTTGGGAAAAAGAATCCATCGGATAGTGTCAGAGGGGGATTCAGTTGTGGAGCCTCACAGCAGGAATATTTTGAATAGCGCCGCGGATGGATTCTATTGGAAAACCTCATGACAGGACTACTCTGGAAAGCACCACACAGTTCGATTGGAAAGCCTCGCAACAAAGATCCGGCGGAAAGCACCACAACGGGATTATACGGAATCCTTGGCAGTCGAAGTCCTGTGGAACTCGCCGCAACGGGGTTCTATGGGAAAACGTCACCAGAGGAGTTCTTTGGTAAGCACCACAAGGAGATCACACAGGGACGCATCGCAAAAGGAATCCGTTGGAAAACATTACACAGCGATTAGCATAGAAAGCCTCGCACTCGGAATCAATCGGGGAGCGCTACGAACAGATCCGATTGGAAGGCCTCACATCGGGAACCAATCCGAAAGCACCACAACGGCATGATATCGTAGGCCGTCTCGGTGGGAGTCCTTTGGGAATGCCGCAAAGGGGATTGCATAGGAAATCCTCGCAACAGGTGGAAAGCGCCACAAAAGGGAATTCTACTGGATTGCCTCCCAGCAGGAAACCATTGGAAAACACCCCGAAAGGATTCTATGGAAAATCCGCACAAAAGGGATTTCATTGGAAGGCACCAGAAAGGATACCTCTCCCACAGTGAGAACATTTTTGGAAACACCACACGTGAGATCCTCTCGGACATCCTAACCACAGGAATCCTTCGTAAAGCGCCACAGGGAAAATCATAGTGAAACGCATCCCAGCAGGAACGCGTAGGAAAATCATCCCAAATTGATTCGACGGGAAATCCTCACCACAAATCTGCTGGAAAGCACCACGAAGGATGTTCCCCAACAAATTAGCCTGGCGAAGAACCCAACCATATGCAGTTGTCAGTACCGCAGCTGCGGGTTTCATCTTCAATGGAACTCCCCATGGGATTACGGAACGTGTGAGGGGTGTGCCGAGATGGGTGCCACTGGGGCATTCGGCGAAGCTCCCTATGGGGACATGAAACACGCGCGGGGCGTGCCGACTTGGGTGGCGGAAACGCATGTGCGGGCCGCCACTGGGGCCTCCAGTGGAGCTCCCTATGGGTCCCCGAAACATGATGCTGCTGCGGGGGGGGGGGGCGGGATGGGTGGCGGAGACGCATGTAAGCGCCGCTACTGGGGCCTTCGGTGGAGCTCCCTATGGGGCCACGAAGCGCGTGATGGGTGTACTGGGATGTGTGGCGGGGACGCATGTGAGCGCCGCCACTGGGGCCTTCGGTGCAGCTCTCTATGGGGCCACGAAACGTGTGAGGGGTGTGCCGAATTGGTGCGGGTGGTGACGCATGCGGGCGGCAGTACTGGGGCCTTCGGTGGAGCTCCCCATGGGGCCACGAAACCTGTTGTTGTGAGGGGCGTGCCGGGATGGGTGGCGGGGACGCATGTGAGCGCGGCCGCTGGGGCCTTCGGTGGAGCTCCCTATGGGGCCACGAAGCGTGTGAGGGGTGTGCCGAATTGGGTGGGTGTGGGTGACGCATGTGAGCGCCGCCATTGGGGCCTCCGGTGGATGATGGGGCCACGAAACCTGTCAGGGATGTGCCGAAATGGGTGCGCGGGACGCATGCGCATGTGAGCGCCGCCACTGGGGCCTTCGGTGGAGCTCCCTATGGGGCCACGAAACGTGTGAGGGGTGTGCCGAAATGGGTGTGGTTGACGCATGCGGGCGCGGGCACTGGGGCCTTCGGTGGAGCTCCCTTATGGGGCCACGAAACGTGTGGAGGGGTGTGCCGAAATGGGTGTGGGTGACGCATGTGGGCGCTGGGCACTGGGGCCTTCGGGAGGAGCGTCCCCTTATGGAGCCACGAAACGTAGAGGAGGGGTGTGCCGAAATGGGTGTGGGTGACGCATGCGGGCGCGGGCACTGGGGTCTTCGGTGGAGCTCCCTATGCAGCCACGAACGTGTGAGGGGTGTGCGGAATTTTGGGGTGGGGTGACGCATGCGGGCGGCAGCACTGGGGCCTTCGGTTGAGTTCCCTATGGAGCCACGAAGCGTGTGAGGGTTGTGCCGAAATGGGTGTGGGTGACGCATGCGGGCGCGGGCACTGGGGCCTTCGGTGGAGCTCCCTATGGAGCCACGAAACGTGTGAGGGGTGTGCCGAAATGGGTGTGGGTGACGCATGCGGGCGCGGGCACTGGGGCCTTCGGCGGAGCTCCCTATGGAGTCACGAAACGTGTGAGGGGTGTGCCGAAATGGGTGTGGGTGACGCATGCGGGCGCGGGCACTGGGGCCTTCGGTGGAGCTCCCTATGGAGCCACGAAACGTGTGAGGGGTGTGCCGAAATGGGTGTGGGTGACGCATGCGGGCGCGGGCACTGGGGCCTTCGGCGGAGCTCCCTATGGAGCCACGAAACGTGTGAGGGGTGTGCCGAAATGGGTGTGGGTGACGCATGCGGGCGCGGGCACTGGGGCCTTCGGTGGAGCTCCCTATGGAGCCACGAAGCGTGTGAGGGGTGTGCCGAAATGGGTGTGGGTGACGCATGCGGGCGCGGGCGCTGGGGCCTTCGGTGGAATTCTCTATGGAGCCACGAAACGTGTGAGGGGTGTGCCGAAATGGGTGTGGGTGACGGACGCATGCAGGCGCGGGCACTGGGGCCTTCGGTGGAGCTCCCTATGGAGCCACGAAACGTGTGAGGGGTGTGCCGAATTGGGTGTGGGTGACGCATGCGGGCGCGGGCACTGGGGCCTTCGGTGGAGCTCCCTATGGGGCCACGAAACGGTGTACTGGGTGGGTGAAGAGGAGAGGAGGAGAGGAGAGGAGGAGAGGAGAGGAGGAGAGGAGAGGAGAGAGAGAAGAGGAGAGGAGAGGAGAGGAATGATGATGATAATGATGATGATAATGATGATGATGACGATGATGATGATGATGACGATGAGGATGATAGGAGGGGAGAGGAGGCGGAGGAGGAGAGGAGGAGGAAGGAGACGCGGGGCACCGTCTCTTCAAAACGAGGACCCAACACCACATAATGGTTGGGAAAAAAGGCTGCACCGAGTGATGGTTGACGCATGCGGGCGGTCCCACTGGGACCCTCGGTGGAGTTTCCTATGAGGCCACGAAGCGCTGTACTGGGTGGGTGAAACGCAGGAGAGGGGGATGGGTGAGGGAGGAGCGAGGAAGGAGGAGGAGAACACGGGGACCGTCTCTTCAAAACGAGGACCCGACACCACATGATGGTTTGAAAAAAAAATATTTGCCGTAGGAATTCGCAAGAGGGCGCACCAGCTTTGTTTGAACATCAGCGTTGCAAAACGTTTGTGTTTCTTATGTGTATATATATATATATATATATATATATGTTTGGACACTCAATTGTGAAACCCGTGCGTAAACGAATGCTGTTGACGGGTTTCGGCATGCGCTCGCCACGGCGCGCGCGCGTGTACTTCGTTTCATGTGTTGCAAAAGGCCCTTGGAAACTTCTGACCTGTTGTAAACGAGTGTGCGCGCATAACATTTGTTGCAAAGGATGGCAGGGGGCGGATACCCGTTGGGCTGTGCTGGTATGAAGTCATAGTTAAGATGAACGCTGGGGCAGAATCGTATGAAACTTGCAATACAAAGAGGGGGGGTGATAATGCCGAAGGGGGGAGAGTCTATTCATTTCTAAACAAGAGAGTATATGTGGTGCAAATTATGTGGTGCCATCCAGGTGGCAAGCAATGCAACGCAGTACTAGACAGCGCAAAGCATTACATTCCAGCTCACAGCAAAACACTGCGAAGTAGTGCAAAGCAAATCATTGCAACGCAGAACAGCGCAAAAAGACGCAAAGCAACGAAACGCAAAACAATGCAAAGCCGTGCAAAGCAATGCAACTCAACGCAATGCAAAGCAAAGCACTGCAATGCAATGCGAAGCAATGCAATGCAACTCAAAGCACGGCACAGCAATGCAAAGCAACGCACAGCAATGCAATGCGAAACAAAGCAATGCAACGCAATGCAAATTAATGCAAAGCAATGCAAACCAGTGCAAAGCAATGCAACGCAATGTGGAGGAATGCGCAACAAAACGATGCGAAGCAAAGCGATGAAACGCAATGCAAAGCAAAACGATGCAAAGCAATGTAAAGCAATGAATAGACATGCGACACAAAGCAATGTAATGCAAAGCAATGCGACACGGGCACGTGCAGAAACAAAGCAATGCAAAACAATACAAAGCAATGCAAAGCAATACAAAGCAATGCAAAGCAAAGCAATGGAAATCAATACAAAACAATGCAGTGCAAAGCAACGCAAGCAATGTCATGAAAAGCAATGCAATGTCATGCAATGCAAGGCAATGCAGCAAAATGCGAAGCAATGCAAAACACGCAATGCAAAGCAACGCAAAGCAACGCAATGCAAAGCAATGCAATGCAAAGCAATGCAAAGCACAGCAATGCAAAGCAAACCGATGCGATGCAAAGCAACGCAAATCAATGCAGAGCAAAGCAACTTAACGCATTGCAGAACAATGCAAAGCAGTGCAAATCAAAGCAATGCAACACACTGCACAGCAATGTAAAGATATGCAAAGCAAAGCTCTGCAATGCAAAGAAATGCGGCACGGGCGGCACGGGGACGGCACGGAGACAGCAGGGGGCGGCACGAGGGCGGCACGGGGCGGCACGGGGGCGGCACGGGGCGGCAAGAGAGCGGCACGGTGGCGAAAAGCCTGCAGGCGTAACCAGATGGTGATGCCAGGTAAGAACCCCTAAGCTTCCGCTGTTTGGGGAAATGCATACACCATACATGTATCTATGTAGAGCTGTAGGTTTAGATATCTCACCCCCCACAAATTGTCCCTCCGCCCCCGCGCTCTCCATCAGCCAAAGGTCGCGAGGCCATGATTGGGATGTCTTAAGGCCCTGTGGGGCCATATTGGGGTGCCCTTTCGGTGCCCTTGGATCCCATGGGGCTGTCGTGGGCCGTATGGGGGCCCTCTTGCGGCAGCTCGGAACGCTCGCAAGCAATGTGGTGGCCGTCTTGGGTGTTCTCGAGGCCCCCTTGGGCCGTCGTGGGCTCCTCCAGACGCCGTCCGGACTCATCTTGAGGCAATCCTGGGCTACGTTAGGACCATGTTGTGGTCCTCACGGGGCCCTCTCGGGTCTCTGCAGGGTGTTTCTTGGCTCCTTCGAGGCTCTCTTGGAACCATGCTTAAGCAAAAAGTCGGGAACCCAAAAATCATCGAGCACAGCAGGAAATGCTTAAGCGTTTGACTTTCGGGCAGTCTGGAGGATATCTTTGGGCCCTCTTGAGGCCTGACAGGGGCCCTCTCGGGTTTATCTTGGGGGGCCATAAGCCACCTGCGGCTGTCTTGGAATCGTTCGGCAGCCTTCCAGGATGATATTAGGGGGCACTGGAGCCATTTCGAAGGCTGTAGGAGTGGTCCAGGGTGAGTCTTGGGGCCCTCTTGGGGGAGCCATCGGGAACGATGTTGGGACCCTGTTGGAGCTGTTTCGGGCAGTATGGCTTCTCCAAGGTTTTGCAGAAACCATGTTTGGTCAAGCTGTGCGGAATCCAATACTTGATCAAAAAATGCGAGCTCCGTCTCGGGCTCTCGCGTGACCATCCTCGGCCAGCCTGGAGAGCCTCTTGATTTGTGTTCGCTTCCCGGCTTTTTCGTCCTCTTCCTCACCGATCTCCTGCTGGTCCAGTCACAGAGGAAGAGGTAACATGCATGAATGCATGAGGGCAGGAGAGGAGGGGGAGAATCCGCGGCGAGCGAGGGGGGAAGCAGGAAGGAGAAGGCCTTCTCAGGCGGCGGGACTTCTCAGAAGACCTCGTGCCTTCTGATGAGTTTTGGCTAGTATTCGGTAAAGGCTTAGAAAACTTCTCAGAAGGCCATGGGGACTGCCGAGCCTTCTGAGAAGGCCTTCTCCTCCTCTCTTCCCCCCCTCGCTCGCCGCCGAGAGCAAATGGAGGCAGGAAGCGAGCGAGGGAGAATCTGGAGGAGGGTGCACCCAGGAGCAGGAGAGAGGATGGAGGCAGGAGGAAAACGAGGGCGGAGGAGGGCTGCCGACGGCCCTGGAGGGACGGCTCGCACAGCGCCGCCCGCGCACACCTCGGCACACCGCAGGCGTGGAACCCCGAGGGCCGAGCCGACGTCGGCGCACGCCCCACGCGGAGCGTGCTCCGCAGGGGTTCTCCGCCTGCGGCTTCATGGGGGGCGCGCTGGCGCGGGGGCCAGCCCCCTGTCGCGCGGCTCGTGCCCGCGGGGAATTCAGTCAGCGACTCTGCGCGCCGGCTCCGCAGCAGCCCCGTGCCCGCACGGCCCCGCGGCGCGAAGGGTAGGACGAGAGGGCCGTGCCCTGCGCCACGCGCAGCTCATGGGGTTGGTCCCTTCGCCAATCTACGTGCGCCTTTCCTTTTCCGTGTGCTGCGTACATACGGGGGACAAGACACACCAACATTCACACCAACATTCACACACACACACACACGCACGCACGCACGCACGCACGCACGCACGCACGCACGCACGCACGCACGCACGCACGCACGCACGCACACACACACACACACATACACACACACACACACACACACACGCATGCTGTACATATGTCTACGCATACATACAGACATGAAAACGATACCCGTGCTGGGAACGTCAGTCAAGGCCGTCTGGGAATCCGGGATGCCTGTCGGAATAGTTCGGACTGATGGTTGCGGGCCTCGCGGTAGCGTATGATGGGTCTCTGGGGCCTCTTGGGGGCATCTTGGGAACCTCTGAAGGCCTCTTGACAGCGTCTTGGAGGCCTACGAGGGGGTCTTGTGGGGATGTTGGACGCGGACCCCCCCAGAATGATACCTCCAAGCTCCGATTGGCTCTCTTGGATCCCTCTTGGGGCTCCCTTGGGGCCCTCTTGGTCCGTCCTGGAAGCCTGTGGAACCGTCTGTGGGCCCGTTTTGACATCTTCGGGCTGTGTTGGGGTCCTCTAGGGTTGTTTTGGGGCTATCTCGGAAGCCTCTGGTCTTCCTGGGCTGGAGAAACAACACCTGTGCCGTCTTGGGGCACTCTTGAGCCTTACGGGGGCCGTCTTGGGAGCCTCTGAGGCCGTGTTGGGGGCCTCGTGGGCCGTCTTGGAGTGTCGGAAGCCCGAAAGCGAGGATGCTAGAACCTTTCAAAAAACCAGAACAGATATCAACGAGTGGTGCCTCTAGGAGCCATCATGGCAATTATGGTGGCTCTTACAACGGCTTGGTGGCATCTTGGGCTGTTTGGGTAGCCTCTGGGGCCTTCTCAAACCTCGCAGGCTGCTCGGAATTGGATCGAGGCCCTCTTGGGCCTTCCTGGGGCTGTCTAAACGCACTCGGACGCGATCTTGGATCTTCTTTGAGGCTTCCTGGGTCGTCCACGGGGCCTCTTGGGCTGTCTAGGGGTCCTCTTGTGCAGCATGGGGTGCCATCTTCGAAACGTATTGGGCCGTCTTGGGGCGACCCTGGGACTGTCTTTGAGCGTCGGAAGCATGAATCGGTGAGAAAGCTGAACTTTCAAATAACAGAAAACATCTTCGCCACTCGAGGACCTCTGGGAAATCAGTGTAAGGCTTCTCAGAGGGCTTAAGAAACCTCTATGGCAATTGCTGACGCCTCGTGAACCGACTGAGACCCCCCCGAGGGTCTCGGTGGGGGTGGTTTGGATTCCTCTTGTGCCGCCCAAGGGGCCGTCTAACAAGCTAACCGTGAGCACTGTTGGGGGTGTCTGGGGCTGCCTTCGGGGCTTCCTGGTCGGTCTTACGGCCCCCTGGGGCCCGCCCGGGGGCGTTTGGGCAGCCTCCTGAACTGGCTCCAGGCGTTATTGGGCTGTCTTGGAGTGTTAGACGCCCGATAAGGGGAGAACACCATTCTAAATTAATCCAACGTGTTTTGCGTCTCGTAGCTATATTGGGGGTCATGTTAGGTCTCTCTTGGGGCGCACTGGGGGCTGTCCGGGCCGCTCGAGACGCCCCTTGAAACCGTCGGATGCCCCTCGGGGCCGTTCTGCGGGTGGCTCGGGGCCCCGAGGACTGCCATGGGGGCTGCCTAACCTCCCCTTGCTGTGATCATGAAGCCCACTGGAGACGACGGGGGCGCGGGGGAGCCTCCAGCGGGGGGCCTCGGGAGGGAGGCGCCACTCTGTGTACTCTGGTAGCCCCTGGCGGTCTTTTCCTAAGGGGCCCACAAGACCAGGTTTCCAGTATATGATGGGAAAAACAACGAACTGCATACACATATTTGTGTCGAAGGTTCGTGAGGATTTCCTTGGAACCACGCTGGACCCCCCTCCTGGCGCGCGGACTGCGCCAGGGGTGGTGCCAAATGCGCGGCCACCAGGGACCAGCGCAGATCCAAGCAATCCGCGCGGACCCCCCAAAGTTATTTTTGTTTTTCCCAACCATCCTGTGGTGTTGGGTCCTCGTTTTGAAGACACAGCGCCCCGCGTTCCTCCCGCTACCCCCTCCCTCCTCCCTCCTCCCCCTCCTTGCCTCTGCTCCCCGCACACCTCTCACACGTTTCGTAGCCCCATAGGGAGCGTGGGTCTCCTACCGGGGGTGAGGGGTCGCATGCGGGGGGAGGGGTCGCATGCGGCTCCCCTACCCAGGGCACCGCTTCGTGGCCCCTTAGGGAGCTCCGCCGATGGCCCCAGTGGGGGGGGGCGCATGCGGTTCACCCACCCAGGGCAGCGTTTCGTGGCCTCATAGGGAGCTCCGCCGATGGCCTCAGTGGGGGGGTCGCATGCGGTTCACCCACCCAAGGCAGCGTTTCGTGTCCCCATAGGGAGCTCCGCCGATGGCCCAAGTGATGGGGGGGGTCGCATGCGGTTCCCCCGCCCAAGGCAGCGCTTCGTGGCCCCATAGGGAGCTCCGCCGATGGCCCCAGTGGGAGGGGTCGCATGCGGTTCCCCACCCAAGGCAGCGCTTCGTGGCCCCATAGGGAGCTCCGCCGATGGCCCCAGTGGGGGGGGTCGCATGCGGTTCCCCCGCCCAAGGCAGCGCTTCGTGGCCCCATGGGGAGCTCCGCCGGTGGCCCCAGTGGGGGGGGGTCGCGTGCGGTTCCCCCGCCCAGGGCAGCGATTTGTGGTCCCACAGGGAGCTCCGCCGATTGTTCCAGTGGGAGGGGTCGCATGCGGCTCCCCCACCCAGGGCAAACCCAATAGGGAGCTCCACCGAAGCCCCCAGTGGGGGGGGCGCATGCGGTTCTCCCACCCAGGGCAACGCTTCGTAGCCCCATAGGGAGCTCCGCCGATGGCCCCAGTGGGGGGGGGTCGGATGCGGTTCACCCACCCAGGGCAGCGTTTCGTGGCCTCATAGGGAGCTCCGCCGATGGCCTCAGTGGGGGGGTCGCATGCGGTTCACCCACCCAAGGCAGCGTTTCGTGTCCCCAGAGGAAGCTCCGCCGATGGCCCCAGTGAGGGGGATCGCATGCGGTTCCCCTTACCCAAGGCAGCGCTTCGTGGCCCCATAGGGAGCTCCGCCGATGGCCCCAGTGGGAGGGGTCGCATGCGGTTCCCCCGCCCAGGGCAGCGCTTCGTGGCCCCATAGGGAGCTCCGCCGATGGCCCAAGCGGGGGGCAGGGTCGCATGCGGTTCCCCTACCCATGGCAACGCTTCGTAGCCCCATAGGGAGCTCCGCCGATGGCCTCAGTGGGGGGTGTCGCACGCGGTTCCCCCACCCAGGGCAGCGCTTCGTGGCCCCATAAGGAGCTCCGCCGATGGCCCCAGTGGGGGGGGTCG